AGAGACATTGTCAAATTGCGTTTCGCTGGATTAATTTTTCAAGCGCATGGTGACGATGAAACGGTGGTGATAATTCTAGAAACATTATTAGAGTTCTTTCGGAAACTAATCTTGCGAAGGTATATTCCCCGCCAATTCGAGTGCCAATGTCGAATGTCGAATCGCTTTGAAAGCTCTCGGAAAATAACGCGAGTGATTTCCGCGTGTTATTATCGATAGACACGCAAATCAAATAACTCGCGCGTTGTATTCCGCGCTCGGCAGCAATTGCATTAAAAACTTATAAACTAGATTTAATAAACTGTACGTGGAATTTATAGCTTGTTCCGATTAAATATCCCAGCCTGAAAAGAGGTAAAAGTTAGTCTTTAGAATTCACGAGTTTAGTCTCGCGCTTTTACCCGATGAAAAATCCAAGATGATTACTTTTGCTTTACTTGAAAGGGGATTTCAGGACGCGGCGAGAGAATAGTGAGCAAAAGCACGGCTATTATCACTATACGTATTATTCAGCTATCTTTCTCGTAAGCTTATACAGAAAGAGATCATCTATGGGCTTACATATGAAAAATTTAGATGCTTATCGATAGCACTCGCGTCGAGTATTGTGTAACAATACTCGTGACATCGTGTATTACTCTGCTGAGTATGGGATTAATATCCCATGAGCGTAATTATTTGATACGTCTTGTTATAATATCTCATCAACGTAATTATTTGATATATCTTGTTATATTAAATTAATGTACACAATATCTTTTATCGCTTGAGATAAATAGAAAATAGAAAATAATAATAGAAAAAAATTTTAAACATTATTAGGCAAACAAAGTATGAATTGTTTTTCTGGATAGAAAAATATATGTAGCTAGATGTGTGATTTTATCAAACGATATATCTCAGTGTTCAGTAAAAATACCTGAGTTATTGTTATTAGAAGTATAGTAGAAAATAATCACGTGACAAACATGAAAATAAGTATGATGAACGGAAAGAGATATAATATAAGTAAGAATAAAGAGGAAAATGAAAGCTGCTTAAGATAGCGCTTGTATAAAAAAAGGAAATGCACCGCAATGCAAAGCGGAAGGTACTTTCTGCGGAAAAGAACACTTTTGGCAAAATTTTCACTCTCATTGAATACCCCGTACTTCATAATTTAAACTTAAAAATACAACAGAAGTACACTACTAACCGCGCGCGTAAGAGGAAAGATTTTGACATAAATGGAATAAAAATAGTTAGATAATTCCTTTTGTGCCACAATTCCATATAATAGATTACTATTATTATTTGCTATATTATTTGTTAAAAAAATATTAACTATTGTCACGGCAAATTAACGTAGTTTAATCAAATGTACTTTCAAAGATAATACGATATTGTTTATTAAATATGCACTCTATCCTTTTAAACTTTCGCAAAATGTGATAATATAATGTAACAATATATATTGATTAAATGAAGCTATGGCAGAATAAAAACGTTGCGTCCAGGGTAAAAAGAGACAAAAAGAGAAAAGATAATAATGGTATCATAACATGAACATTGCGAAACAACGCAACTCGGTGTTTTCATCGAGAATAGTCAGCGTCGACGTCATAAAAAAAATTGCATTATAGTTAAACTGCCAGGTCCGATAATTATACAATATAAATTACAAAATACGAAATAAAATTGCGCGTGAACCGACACCGATGACGTAAGATACGCGATTTAATGCAAATAAGATTTATCAACTGTAAAGTAAATATCGAATTGCGTTATTTTTCACTTTCTCTCTTTATTAATATTATTAAATGTACTATAAGTGCTATATACGTTATTATTCCTAAGACAATTAATTCTAATTTAACAAATCAGTCATTATAAATTTTTTATAAATTAATATCATTTTTAATAATAGTTTATTTAACATAATAATTCTCCCAACTAAATATAGAATAAATAATTTTTAAATAATAAAAAAATAAATATAATTTTTATAAAATTTCATAGAATCTTTTCTAAAAATATCTAAGCTTTTTAACATTTATAGCATAAACTATTATATTATTACACTTAATAATAATAAAATATTTAAAATATATTACTAAATATACGTTAAATATTTCATTTTTATTATACTAAATATACATTATAACACATATCACGTTAGAATAATTGTTTAACTTTCTAACAGATGTATACATTGCACTGAGTCGCGTTGCAATATTCATGCCAATAATTATTATGGCGAAATATGTAAAGGTTGAGTTCCGCGCTCGGTCTGGCCTTTCTCGTATACTACTACTGAATGAGCATTTGCGAAGTGGTCGCAGACAAATGAGCGAGACGTCGGGACGGCTGCTGCGGCGAGGATAGTTCGACGTTTCCATAGACAAGCAGCCTGAGCTAATTTGCATTGCGGTGGAACGTTTCGTGTTGGAGTTGGCTGCATCCGGGTAGTCATCCGCTAGCACTTCATGTCGACTCCCGAAACGTCGATACACCCGGTATGCCTCGCTCGCGGCATACGCGAAACTAATAACCGAGCGGAGCGTTTCGAGAGAATGATCCGCTGCTGCTTGGTTACATAGCCCCTCACACGACTGTGTTCTACGAACAAATATCTTACATCGCGAGTGCGTACATCAGAAGATATTTGGTCTTCACAGACTCGCACACAACCTGTCTGTTCGGAATTAAAAATAAATTTAAATTTATTTTTAAAATAAATTTAAAAATAATTTTCTCTCTTCCAAGGAGATAAAAAGATACGTATCTACGTGATATATCTTTCGCGTTTAGGAAGTTTGAAAGTTTCCTAAAGTCAAACTGCCGTATGATGATAACGTCGAAAGTTCGCCAGCCTCAAATTGGTTATTAATTCTCTTTAATTTGTATTATCCACCATGCTGAAATGACTTTAACGACGATGACAAAATCGAAGAAATCGCGTCGTAATATTCAAATAATAATTTCGCTCCAAAAATTGAAAACGGATAAACGATTTGCCAACTTGGTCGCCGAAATCCGCCGCGAGAATTTCTCCGCGTTTACCACGAATGGCCTGCATTGGTAGAAAGTGTCTCGCGGGAGGACGACGGGCTTCTTATTCCCTCACGGAGAGTAAATTTAACGCGAGTGCAGACGCGAGCTCGCGCTCGCGACACTGTTTCCGAAGACGATTAAACTTCATAAGCGAGCCGTTCCTTACGTCTGTCGGGCAGGCGACAAATCCTCGGATTAAATCAAACGCAATTCGCGTCTCGCGCAGCTCGGAGGGGAAAATCCAATCTGGAAAAGCTGGGAAAACCGGGATTCTAAGGCGCGCGGCCGGAGGTACCTGCCTCTAAATGGAAAACGAATCACTCGGAAAACTTTCGGCATCGAACAGCTCGGGCGTGCCTCGGCGCGAGGAAGTTCGCCGTTTACTCGGCGGGCTATAATTTATCGCGGGGTGGTACGGTCGGTGAATTCGAGGCAAATTTTTCGACGAGGGCAAGAGAGCGGAAAGGAGAAGGGGGGTTAAAAAGAGAAGGGATTTCCGTGCGTTTATGCCACGCACGTGGCAGCTTGAAAAGCCGCGTACTAGCGATCGAAACACGACAACACAATGCGTCACGTTTCGTCCTCGTACTCGTTCCTTCTCTCCTCCCCCCTGCGGCTGAGTCGGCACGAGATTTCGCGCGATGGCGGGGACACAATGCCGCCATTATGACGCGAGGAAAACGAATTTGGGAAAGTTTCCACGATGTGGGTCAGGTGCTTGACTTCTCAGTGGCCTCGAGGACAAAATTGCGAGAGCACCTGAATTTGTTCCAGGAAAATTTGGCCGTTTTGCACGATAAACTCTCATCATATTTGTAAAAAAAAATAATTCGAAAAAAATAATTATTATTACAAGTATCACAAAATTAGAATAATAATCATATAAATAATTGAAGTAACATAGAATTGACTTTTCTATATGATTTCTGTTGCTTTAGATTTATTTTTTAAACACTTTGTCACATAAAAGCGGGATTCACCTACCATAAAAAGAGCAATCTTCTTCAATAAATATTTCATAAATATAGTAATATCCATTTGAAAATAATGTTTTATAAATAACATTTCAAAATTAAAAAAATTTTTTAATTTAACGTTATCGTTATTAAATTATCTTTGTTATTTCAACATAATATGATAATTCAATTTCAAGACATGTTTTCGGATTAAAAGTTTATAATTGAAAAAAACTACTAAAGTTTCTATCCAAAGAATGTCGTTCAGCGGTATGTACACGAGCGGACGCGAAAGTATCGAGCGATATTAGCCATAAGGTGGTACGGTATAAAAAAGCCATTTCTAAAAAAAATACGACGTGTAATTTTATCGCCACTCCCGGCTGTTCTCCGCACAATGCCACGTGCCTATCTGGGACACCATTTTTTTGTTACGCAATGTCGCGATTTGTCGTGATATGCGGGTGCGTGTATGCGAACCCTCGAATCGCACCCTCAGACTCTAATTAACTCGGATGTTGACTGGATCGACATAACGTATGGCATCCTCACGTGTGTAGTGCTGCTCGGTACACATGACTCAATGCGAATGACGGGGAAAAATCCCTCTTTTCTTTCTCGCATTTGTTATTTGGATTTCAAACGCACCGTTTTGCACAAGATTGACAATTATCATAATCTAGATAAAAATAACTTAGTTCTAATCATTTATAAAATAAGATACAAAAAATAACATCAAATTCTCGTAAATAAGAACGACAAAAAATATCTCTTAAAAAAAAAGTAAAAAATAGAAAAGCCAGGTAGAAGTCATTTCTACGAATCCAAGATAATGCCATAAGATGATCAACGAGTTAGGAGACGTCAGAAAGCAACGCGGAAGGAAATCGATTGCCGAGTTTCAATTCTGGTTTTCCGAGAACGTACGAGAATCAACGTTACTCACGAAAGACGTGGGTAGAGACTCACGTGATATTTCGTTCTCATGTAAGTCGGCGTAATTGCACTCACCGCTTTCCGCGGAGGGGTAAATGTTGAAGGCCGAGTCCTTCAACCAGGACGTGACCGCGACGTATTCCTTGACGAAGGCCGGTATCTCGCATCTGAGCACCCCTGTGTTGCCCGCCAGGACGTAGGCGTCCCGCACTTGTACCTCATACTTTTGGCGCACCACTGAAAAAAAAGAAAGTTACGGCCGCTTGAGCGCGGGAATAAATGCCGGGAGGGAGGGGAAATGTAAGGGAACGAGAGATGGACCGACATATCCCCGCGACAAAGACTCTCGGGACAATGAAAAAAAAATAGAGAGAAAGGAAAAAGGGAGAGGAAAGGGTAGGGGGAGAGGAAGAAAAGGAACAGGAGGGAAATGTTATATCGTCGTAAAACGGGACGTCGTATTCGCGAGAATAATACCGCCGGAAAAGTGAAAAAGGACCAGAGAACCTCCCCGGAAGGGAGAGCCTCCTCTTCCTTCCTTCGACGTGTAACAACGTCGCGACGTTTCGTTACGTTCGAAATTCGTCGTTCCGATCCTGACAATTTCGGTTGACAGATCGGTCCACGCGAGCTCCTCCGTCAAAATTTGCTCTTCATCTTCGCGACGGATCTCTCACGGCGACGAATCTCTCATCGCCTCGGCGATCGCGATGCACGCTAATCTCCCCGTAGAGACGAGGGTGAAAACGAGGAAATGGAGGCTCGAATATGGACGGTTTAAGGAGACGGTGGGAGAGTGGTATGTGTCGCACGACGATATATCGGAGCTGTTCTATAAGCAATGTCGGATTCGAGTGATGAATATTCCTCTCCCGGGAAGCTTCCGGGAGATCGGAAGACCGTTCCTGTTGTCCGCGTGATTAATAATACCATCTGTTTCATCGTGGCTAGCGAATTCTTCGATAAAGCCGAACTCGAGAGATCTATCTCTTTTTCGGTGAAATTTACATTTTCAATTATTTAATCCAAAAACGTCGACAAATTACGAGATTTAAAAATCAAATCATCAATCACACGACACATACAAATCAATATCCAGCGAATAACAAATTGCAATCCATTTGTTGACATTGATTCTGATTATTTTTTAAATAAATTTAAACAATATATTTATATGAACGCGTAGGAACAAATAATTCTTAAACAAAAATAATTAATAATTTAAATTGCACTTCAAGCATGATTAAGAATATTAATATACCAGAATCTGCGATGAAAGTATTTAATCAGCCGATTGAGTCTCCTTCAACCATCGATGTCGTTATTGATTCATAAAAATTTTTTATCCGTTAATGGACGGACGTAATTTTTGCCGTAGACATATAATGTAGATCCACATCGCGCTTATCATCCACACCGTTTATTATCAACCAAGCTTTTAGCTTTTTCTATCATTAATTAACATTCTTAAAGAAGGCCAGCGAGACACATTAACGCTAAAAGGCGCATTATTAACATCGTAACACGGCATTTCGTTTTCCGTCGACTCCATTGTCCGCGAATACCGGCGGCTCTTAGGCAGGCAGTTTCGGTAATTAAACCTCTGCCTTCGCAACGTCTTCGTGGTCACCTCCGTGACTTCCGCATCCTCCACCCCCTCATCGAGTAATCCAACCCCTTCAATTCCTATCGCAATTCTTTCTTCTCGGTAGAAAATCTCCGATTCGCGAAACATGATGAGTGACTCTTGACGGGACGATCCGATTAAGAGCAAAAACAAGGAAATTGCGCAATTGTTTGTCACACGTGGCGTGCAATTGGATGAAATGGTGCCGATCAAGCGCGATACATTCCTCGTAAAATTACGGACGCGTTCGATCTTTCATCCTTCGTCGAAATTCATTCGATATCTCAGCGCGGTGGATTTTCCTCCAGCTGAAATTCTCGCTTCGCGTCTGACCGAAATATATACGGCGGTCTGTTTCTACTTACGCCCTGGACGATAAATTTCCCGCGGCTAATTAAGAAGACTTACGCCACGGAACTATCAAAAACCGCGTGGTGTTGCTGTAAAATATTATACCTTATAAAAATTACAAATGTGTGTCCCATTAGGTGCAATTAACGGTAGAGAAAATTACGAGTTTTGCGGAATTACGAAGAAAGGAGAAACAAAGAGCTTAATGCTTCTACCCTCCCCATTAATTAATTAGTTATAAAATTGTTGTAATTGTCACTTATTTTGCCCTAATTTGTTTCCACAGCTCTCCTCTGACTATTCACTTTTAAGTTTTTCACGTCTTGAGACGTGATGCGTAAATGTATTCTGCGTACTTTGGCGACAAGTCGCGAGTCTTGATCTTGGCGCAGATTGTTAGCTATAAGCGAGAGCGTGGGTTTAGTGCCATCCATTTACTGCAGCGACGACAGATGGGGGAAAAGCGAGTGGAAAAGAGGCTGGGCCCCCGCTCGCGATAAATGTAGTTGGCTTGGCTTTGCCCGAGCGGGCGATCATTCTTGCCGCCGGCGCCCGAAGTCGTGGGTTTAAAACGTCATTTCGGAGAACGGTCGATTACATTTAACTCGGCGAAGGCGGGAACCCCGGGAAAGACGGCACGATCAGATAACGCCAAAGACTGTTGATTTTCCGCCGACGTGTACCTCGTAAGACATTTCGAAACGCGCAAAATAGATCGTCCAACTTTCAACTTCGCAACGAGTTGCCGCCCTCCCTCCCCTCCCCGTCTCGAGATTGACGTTAAATACATCTGAAGGGCAAGCGTTTGATGAGCGCTAAAGATAACGAATTTTTATCAATGGCGGAATGCTCCGAGGAATTGTTGTCAGGTTTGAAAATCGAAAAGTGCGGAAATTCGCCCGACGTTGAAAGAATTAAATCCGTACGTGATATTTTGTTTAAATTCGATAAAATTCGACGTTATTTACGGTTACAATTTAAATGTATTAATATTGACACATGGAGCAATCTAAAATTGCAGTACATGAATTGTGAATTTAATGCACCAACTTCTATTATTAAAGATTTTTTTATTATTAAACTCTTTGCTGTTTAAGTAATAATTTAAAATTTCAGCAAATTTAGCGCATCACTGCAAATGCGGATGTGTCGCATAGAATTTTTATGGCGCATCCGGCGAATCTTGGAAGATCTTGAAGCGCGAACAACTCTCGTGCCTGCGTATTATTTACTACTGAAACAAATCTAGAATTTTTAAATTGCGACATGTTTATGGCGCGTGAAACTTCGGTGCTTCCAAGGAGTTATGTGACCGTTACAACTTTTCAGAAAATGCGCGCGTGTAATTTTAATACGAAGGCCTCGATGTAAATATCGCTGAATATTTTCACTATGTTATTTCGCACCGCGGATATTAAAGCTAATTGTTCAAACATTTTAATATTATTGTATATTTGCAGGGCAAAAAATTAAATTTTATTTCTGGCTAAATTAAAATTGACTTTCCTCGCAAAAGATTCAATCAAGAGATAATTAAAACCGTGTTTAAAATTGATCTTAAAATAATTAAAGATCGAATTTAAGCTCGACTGCGTTAGGTACAAGCAGGATACATTTATAGATGCATCAGAGTTCGCGATTTTTGACTCGAGATTCAGGATTGCACGAGAAGCTGGTAAAGCTGCCATGTCACGCCGGCACGCCGTCGTGCGACACAGTCTGTCTTGTCTTTTTTCCGCTGCCATGCGGCAAGAGCGGGCTTTAAGGGACGGTGAAGGATCAATCGGCCGGAAGAGGGGCGACGGCGAGAGACACACGAGACATCGAGGAAGTCGGCGAGAAATAAAGGAGGCCGCTTTCTCTCTTACCGGCCTTCACCGTGATTTCACGGCCGAGCACCTTGCCGACGCTGTTCGACGCCTGGCACCGATAAACGGCCGAGTGCACGTCGTGCCGGTAGCTCTCCGCGCCGAACGGCAGGAAGTACATGGAGCCGTTCACCAGCATCTCACGGATGTTCGGTATCGGTAGGACCGGCGAGCCGTCCCCCATCAGCCAGTCGATCCTCGGCGAGGGGCTGCCATGGGCCGAGCAGTGGATCATCGCCCCGGTGTCGTTCGAGAACTCCACGCTCGAGCGCGGCTCCGAGATCAGCACCGGCCCTTGGCTGTCCAGCACCACTCCTCGTCCTGGAACAGAAAAGGCGTTCACCGTGTGAGGAGAGCGATTGTGCATACGGGGAATGTACATGGGAATTTCAATTGGAATGAAAATTTTGCGAAAATGCCTATTATTTTCAAGCAAAGTTTGGAATGACACGAACGTGAAGCATAAATAGGAAGTTATATGAACGTAAGTAGAAGTTTCGACAGAATGATCTGCGAAAAAATGCCGAGATTATTTTCAAGCAACGTTTGCGATGATTTCTGAGAAGAAGCGAGAAAACTTTTGCGTTACGAAATGATATTAGGAAGGCAAAGATTTATATAAAGCATCTGAACTATTAAGTAAATTATTAGATAGTGCAAAAGTCGCGTTTGTCAGATAAAGTTGAAAATAAAATTTCAGTAGAATCGAAGCAAAATTGTGCCGCCAGAGGGTTCGGGTATTCTCTTTTTTCAACTGGAGAGAAATTTTTCAATTCTGTTTTCGAAGAACTTTGATTTTTTTTTTAACTTCATTTAATATAAATGGAGTTTAATAAAACTGGAAAAGTGACAAACCTTTCGCAACAATTTAATATAAATAACAGCGCCCGCTTTTAAATTCGAGCGGATTTTGCTTATGCAGAACTTCAATTTGACGCTTAAAGACTAGGGTACATTTACCACATTGAACTTTTCAAGTTTGCCATCTACTTTCAGTCGCAAAATCTTACTTTCGCGGAGGAATTTCGCATCTAAATCGTTCCCTCTTCCTTTCTCCCCCCCTCTCTCTCTCTCT